TGCCGCCTCCTCTCAAGCAAGCGGCGATGAGGAGGGTGGGGTTGAAGGGTGCCATGCTCCCTCTGGGCCTTCATTTTGCCCTCTGCCTTCCGCTCTTCAGGCAAACAACATGGTGATCCACACTGCCTGCAAGCACTTCCACGAAAGCCAGGCCGGGCTAGGGGACAGCCGGGGGACACCGCACATCGTGACGTCGAGCGTGGAGCACGACTCGGTCCGCCTGCCACTGGAGCAGCTGGCGAAGGCGGGTGAGCGGCAGAGGGAAGGCGAGGGACAGGCTGGGGATGCCTGGCTGCAGACTGGGGTTTCTGAGGGGGCCTCTTCTCCGCTGGCATTTTTGCGGAGGAGGACGGGGACCTGCTTGCTCCGTGATGTTCCCCTTTCTCCCCCCCAAAGGGCACTGAATCCCCACATGGTGCCCCCATTCCCTGCAGTTGGGTGCGTTACCCCGTTGGCATCCAATGCTGGCCCCAACGGCCGTCGGGCTCTCTGCCTGCACACCAGCTGCCTGCACAGCTCTTCTGCACCTGGGTGCTGTTGGGCTTCCCAGCAAACCTCAGGGCTCGTTTCTTGGCTTGCAGATGCCACCTTTGTGGCTGTGTCCCCACAAAGCGGGCGGGCTGAGGTGGACGATGTCCTCGCTGCCATCCGGCCGACTACCTGCCTGGTTTCCATTATGTTGGCCAATAACGAGACTGGGGTAATCATGGTGAGTCTGTGTGACGAGGTGGGGGACAAGTGGGACAGGGTGGGGACATCTTTCCAAAAAAGCACTTGATAAGGGGGAGCAGATGGTCCCTGGGATGCAGACCCTCTTCCCTCCCACCAGCCTGTGATGGAGCTGGGCCAGCACGTCCGTGCCCTCAATCAGCGGAGAGCAGCAGAGGGGCTGCCCAGGATCCTGATGCACACGGATGCAGCGCAGATGATTGGCAAAGGGCGTGTGGACGTGCAGGAGCTGGGGGTGGACTTCCTCACCATCGTGGGACATAAGGTACGGCCCTGTTCACCTGGCCCAGCTGCTCTTTGCACTCTAAGGCATCTCTCTTGAGGTGTCGGGGAGACTTTGGTTGCCCCCCACAGCCTGATAGCTCATCAGTGGCCAAAGTTTTCCTGCTGGATGGTGCTCTGAAGACAGTCTTTAGCTGGGTGACAAGGCTTCTGAGAGTCAGGGGGACCTGTCTGGAAGGGGGAGCAGGAGGAGGCCAAGGGCAGGGGACAGCTCTGCAGCAGCCTGTGCCTATGAGACATGCAGGGGTCAGCACTGGAGGGCACTTGGATTTGGGCAGGAGTACAGGAAAGGGACACCTGGCAGTGTCCCCAGCATCACCGCGGCCGTTTCTCCCCACAGTTCTACGGCCCGCGGATTGGCGCCCTGTACGTGCGCGGCCCCGGCACCATCACCCCACTGCACCCCATGCTCTTTGGAGGGGGACAGGAGCGGAGTTTCCGGCCAGGGTAAGGTGGCTGGGTGGTGGCCCAGAGAGCTGGGCCTCAGGCTGATGGCCAAACCATGCGTGGCTACTTAGCCTGAGCTGAGCTGGCAGCTGTGTCAGCTGCCAGCCCTGGGGTGGGCAGCCCAGTGCAGGGAGATGGATCTGTGTATGGGAACGGTGGGAGCCTGGTGCACAGGCTTTGCCGTGGGAGGAACCACGCCCTTCCCAACCACCTCAGAGAGGTGTCCAGGACCCCCTGCGGTGAGGGGTCGCAGGTGGGGAATGTCTGTGCCCTGAGGTTGTGTTTCTGGTCCAGAGAAATAACTCCCTGCTCCCTTTTCATTTCCAGCACCGAGAACACCCCAATGATCGTCGGCCTCGGCCAGGTGAGTCAGCGATGGTCATGGGTGAGCGGTTCCCTGGGGTGCTGCCTGGCGGTGCTGGCACGGGGACAGCCACCCATGCTCCCCAGTCGTTAGAAGTGACAAACTTGGGGTGCGGCAGGGCGGGTGAACTACTGGGAAAGGAGATGGGGCTTTCTGGTGCCACTCAAAGGAAGTGCTTCGGAGCACTTGCTGCAGGCTTTGCAGCCCTGGCAGTGGACAGTCACGCAGCCCACGTGGTGCAAGGCATCGAGAGGCTGTTGGGGGATGCAGCAGACCTGGCAATTGCAGAGGCTGTTCCCGGGCTGGACTCACGTGCCCGGGGGCTGCGCATGGAGGGAGGTGTCGAGGGGTTGCTGGTGGAGCCTGTCTGGGTTTTTTCTCCTCAGGCTGCAGAGTTAGTGAGCAAGAACTGGGAGGCCTATGAGGCTCATATGCGGGATGTTCGGGATTACCTGGAGGCCAGGCTGGAGGTGAGCAGACCTGCTTCCTCTTTGTCTCTCCCTTCCCAGTGTCTCAGCGTGAAGAGTGTGGGGCCTGGAGCCAGGGTGGGTATGTCCCTCTGGCCCTGCCACCTCCTCATCATGTGCTCGCGAACCCAGGGTGGTTCACAGCCCTCTAATTTCTCCAGGCCTCCTTTGGGAAGCAGAGGATCCACCTCAACAGCCGCTTCACAAGCTCCAAGAGACTCTGCAACACCTCTAACTTCTCCATCCTAGGCCCAGGCCTTCAAGGTAGCTCTTAACCCACCGCTGCTCCGTGATGGTGCCCATGGAGCCAAGCACCTGCCCTGCACAGCACCCTGCGGCTAGAGACCGGCGGGCACTCGGCCGCGGCTTCGGCAGGGAGATGAGGCAGACGGTGGCCTTCGGAGAGAGCCTGGGTGCTGGGAGACCTGTGCTTGTGTGTGCTGCAGGGCGCAGGGTGTTGTCTCGCTGCAAGATGCTTCTCGCCAGCGTTGGGGCTGCCTGCCACTCTGAGAAAGGGGATCGGTGAGCAGCTGGCTTTGCAGGGCCCAGGGCATCTTCCCAGAGGAGAACGGGTGGGAGGAAGGGAAGGGGGAAACCGACTGTGGGTGGCTGTGGGCAGCATCAGCTGGAGCAAAGAGGGTGCAGAGTTTTCCAGAGGGGCTGAAGGGCTGCAAAGGTTATTGCAGGAGACGCAGCTGGAACGCTTGCTGCTGCTTGGAAGGACTTTGTCCCTCCTGGCTGAGCTTGGAAGTACTCTTCAGCGCCTGGCGCTGCCAGAAGAGTCTGCCTTAGGTCCGTGTGTGGCTCACCCAGTCAAGCCCAGTTGGGGTGTCCGCGGGTGCCTTTGGGGGTGTGTGGGGACAGCAGGTGCTTTTGGCCTGGTCTAGAGCAATGCCCTGTAGACGGGGCAGAGCTCCCAACTGATGGGGACACAGGAGAGGTTATTTCTTGGAGAGGAAGAGCCAGATCCGCCAGAGCCTTTGGAAAGTGAGCAGGGCGCTGTGCAGGAGACAGGTTTGCCTGGAGTGCATCTGCAGATGCGCTCCCTCTTACGGCTTGGTGAAGATTTCTGGTGATGCATGTGCTTCCTCGGCCTTTGAGTTAAACCTGCTCACCCCTGTGTCTGTGTTTCAGGCCCTCCTCAATTCTGCTCAGCTGCGGGATCCCCTACGACGTGGCACAGAACGCCTTGCGGCTGAGCGTGGGGCGAGACACTACCCGGGCAGACGTGGACCTGGTCGTGCAGGACCTCATCCAGGCTGTGGCGCAGCTGGACCAGGACCAAGCCCCGTAGACCCTGCAAATCGCTCCCCAGCCATCATCCAGGTTCTCGGGATGGGATCGTGCCCTGCTTGGTTGCTGTGTCAGTCTGGGCTCAGGTTTTGGCAGGATTAGTTTTGCACTTGATCCTTAAGTTGAACTGACCTGGCCTGCAGTTTGTGATTTTGGATCAGGCGTTGGGGAGGCGAGGGCTGGTGGTGGGCAGGAGGAGGGAGTGAGATCACCCGTCTTGGCAGCAGTGTGCTCTTTAGTCTGCTTAGCCGTCCATCAGCTTGCACTCGCAGGGGTCCTGGCGGGGCTGGCACAGCTCTGCTGCACCTGCGGCTCGGGCAGAGAAGCTCGCGCAGGTGCCGGAGGCAGCAGGGAGCTGTGCTGAGGAGGGGGCTTTGCTGCTTTGGGGCTGGGGCAGCTCATCAGGAGCTTGCTCAGGACTCTCTTGTCCCCACTGCACGGTGCAGGCATTTGGGGAGCCTTGCTGTCGGGTGCTCCTCGCTTGCCAGCACGTACCCAGTTGGCTGCATGCATGCGTGCACGTTGGCGTAACAGAGTCTCAACGCTTGACTCCCTCCAGAGCGTAACAGGCGTGGAAACCATAGGAGATGGAGCCTTTTGCCCAGGTTGTTTTCCACAAAGGAAGCTTTCCTGCTGTCTTATCATTCAGAGGAGGAAAGACCATCTGGCCCAGAGGGAAATGAGGAGCTGACAGAAGCACAGCAAGATTTTGGGCTGGCAACGGCCCTGCCCCTGCCAGGGCCCTAAGCTACCAAAGGGGATTTTGGCTGGGAAGGTGTTGGGCCCAGGTTTCCCAGCACTGCGTTGCATTACCTGCTCCCCTTCTGTCCTTCCTACAGCGGGCAGAGCTCCTGTTGCCGACTCCACGTGCTCCTAAAGGAAACAGAGTTGTCCATGCAGCCCTAACTGTGCCAGCGGCCAAGGAAACATGTCTTCCCTTGCATGGCCCAGGCGGTTGCTCTCATCACTGACAGCGGACACAAGTTTCACACCGATTGGGAATGTTGCCGGCTGGGCTGACTGATGTTGGGGAACCTGGTCTCCCTGGGTATTTGTAGGAATAAAAGTGATGGCTGCCGCTCTGGCTTTTTCCCAAGCGAAATGTGTTTTCCATCGTGTTTTCCATGGGGGAAGCTGGACTGGTTGGGGTCATCTGAGCGATGTCTTTTCCCTCAGAAAATGTTCGTGTCCCAGAACAGAGGCACAGTCTGCTGGAGCGGGGAGGTGCCGCTGGTCCTGGTTAGTATGGAGCCCATGGACAGAGGTTGTTAGATGCTGTTTTTTCTCTTTACTAGCCATACATTAGCACGGCCAGGAATACTGTTTGGAACCATAAAACCCTGGGGCTTTTTGTAAATGTAATTTCTAACTGAAGCGTTAGGACTCAAGCATGGTGACTTAAAGTTCTTGGACACCCATCAGGCTGTTCAGCCTTACCGCCACTGCTCACACCTCAATCTCAAATACAATCTTTTCTTTTTCCTTTTTTTTTCCTCCCTTGCATAACAGTCGAAACCTCTTCTAGAAGAAGCGGTTCCATAGAAAGACTATTGCTTTGTGTCAGGGGTAGATCTTTTATCTATCATGGACCTTAGAGTTCTTGGGGACCTTTCCTTCATACCTGTGGCATAACTGGAGATCCAGTTTTTGGGGCTCTCTTTCCCCCACAGGAGATCTGGACTTCCTGAATCGATTCAAACAGAAATGTAACCACAAAGCACAAAAAGCTTTACTGACTTATTCTTTATACACACAGGAAATGCAAGTTTTAACCACAAAAATGTTAGCATTACTTCATTTAGAACAGTACAGCCAAAGCATAAGAAGTGTTACAGAAGATATGAATACTCTGGTTGACCATTTTAATGGTTTTATTGTTTGTTTTCCTACTACCACGCTGCACAGGAATGAGAATCACTAGTGAATCCCTCTGTCTCTGTATTGCCTTATCCAGGGAAGGTAAGGAAGAACATGCCTGTGACTTGGCCTGCGCTTCTGGGGGCCAGCCTGTGCTTCCGCTCACGCACCCTGCGTGCTGGAGACAAACAGCCTTTTCTCACACGACAAAATGTCGGCAGTTGTACGCACTAGAACAAATTGACTTGTCGTGGAAATAGGAAAATACCAACATGGCTACATCAGCTGTGAATTTAAACGGTAGAGAGAGGACCTGGCCACTACGCTAGAACACGACAGAGTTGAAATAAATTACTTTCACGTGGTCACATAGCCAGAGTCAGATGGCAAACCCACAATTCATCTAATGGAAGAATCCACAATCTCCTTATAGTCTTGCCTTCCTAAATTCTTCCACGACAGTTTATAACATGCAAGGAAAAAAACACTAACCAAAATAACCGCTCCCCCGACAAGATCATAAGCACCTGGGAAGATCCGCAACACGACAAGCTGCAGGACCATGGCGATGACTATCTCCAGGTGCTGTACGGTGCTGACCAAAGCAGGGTGGAACTTGCTCAGGGCGTAGTAGACCCCCAGGAAGGCTGCTGTGGAGCACAGGCAGATGGCGAGGAGATAGCTCCAGGTTTCTCCATCCAGTGGGACAATTGGTTCTTGAAGTAAGAACATGGTGGACGCTCCCCACACCGTTCCCGTCCAACTAAAGGTGAACAGTGCCGTCCACATGCTGATGTTATCTTTGATCGACCTATAGACTATCATGGAGAGAGCAGTGGTCAAACCTGCCATAACGGTCATGGTATAGCCAAAAGCTTCCTTCCAGGTGCTCAGCAAAGAGTTTTCCTCCTTAACAATGTTGGGGATCATAACCAGACAAACGCCAAACACGCTGCCAACTACAGTAATTACATCTATGTAAGCCATTCCTTCATCTATGAGCAAGAAAGCCAAAATGGCACTGAACACCGTAGTGGTAGCCCTCCACATAATGGTCCCGTTGCTGGGGGGAACTATAGAGAAGGAGGTATAAGCACAGGTAATAGAGATAACATTGCAGACCCCGTAGAAGAAGAGCCGGAGTCTGTAGCCTTTGGGGCCAAAGGGCGGCTCATGGTAGTAACACACAACAGTAATGGAGAGCACCTGTAAGACTGAACGGATGAAAATTAACTCTAGGGATGGCACTTTGGAACGATCAGAAATTAATCGTGTAATTAGAGCCACACATCCGTGCGCCACGGCAGATCCAAAAAGGACCACCCACGTTTTCCTCGACTGCAGTATATTTCCTTCAGCAAAATGCTGGGATTGCCCGATCTCATCGGGTTTTGGCAGTTGTGCTGGCTGAAGCTTGGTGTTTATTGTACCAAAAAAAGTCCTTTCTCTCTTTTTCCCATCATTCAGTAGTCTTTTCTTGGGATTATCCTCCATAAATACTCCAGTGTCTTCATTAACATCCTCATATCCCTCTTCTCCTGGCTGGGGATAATGAGAAGTATATTTCACTGTTACTGTGTTGGGATGAATTTTGACTCGCTTTTTGACTGGGTATTTTTGGGAAGCCGCATCCATTTCCTCAGAGAAACCTCCTGGTCTTAAGAAAAAAATGGAGATGCACTGTTATTTGTATTGAACGAATAGCGAGAGATTCATTAGTATGTAAAGGCTGTTAGTGTTTACAAGCTATTTTTATCAACCAAGTCCAAGTAGTAGCAGATTGTTCTTGGTTTTGCTTTAATCTTCTGCTGAGTTACTGCTAAATACCTCTGATAGTCGGGCCATTTGGATCTCCTTAAAAGTCAACGGTGGCACTTCTCTTTAGTCACTAGTTTTTGAAAATTACAGATATTCTCATTTTGTATAGTATGTATAATGCATTCTAGTATATTCTTATCCTAATGAGAAAGTTCTCCTGCTGAGCTTTTTGGACAGTAAATACCCTGTAATTATGAATTATACTTATTGTTAATTGCTTGCTAATGTTACAAGGTAACAGAAGAAATTTGGCTGGAGGAGATGGTCACCTTGTTTCTAAACTGACAGAGAGCAATGCAGGGAAATAGGGAGTATCCCTGAGCAAGTCACCATAGTTAACATATGAATAAACAACACATTTTTGAACAATACTTTGACAGTGTTAAAAATTCCTTCTTCTTTTCATATACTTTTATTTCAGTGACTGATTTTGCAACAGATTTGTTCTTCAAATCTGATTTTTTTTAATGGGGAAAATTTAGAACAGCTGATCCAGACTACTAACCAGACCTTCCCGTGACAGAAGTTTAAAAAAGACAGCAACAGACCCACCACCCTTCTGCCTCCTGTTGAAGGTCCATTTCACGCTACACAAGCGGTGCCTGTGATTTGTGCACGCTGCCGTGACAGATGCAGAAACACGCGTGGCGCTGCAGATGTCACAACGGTGGCATCAGCCTCCCGAAACCAGTACGCAGTCCCTTCACACACCCGGCCTTCACCAGCACAAACGCCGCTTGGTCTTTGCTGTTGCAGGCACGTGCAGCCTGCCCACCGGGAGCCCACTTGCGGCCTTAATTCCCTCCAGCTCTCCACTGAGCGTGCCATCGCTGTCCCCAGGCCCGGTATGACAGCAGTGGGTCAGTTTAATTCAGGCACAGGGATGTCATTGAGATTATTTTGGTTTTGCAGCACCCTCCACCACCTGTGCAAAGAGCCCTTCCAAATGAAGTGGCAGCAGGAGAAATGCAACCTTCCCTGCCTTCTGTTCGCCCCAGCAAATAAACACACACAGACCTTACCTGAGACTGAGAGATTTAATCCCAAGCCAGAAGGCGAAAACACCTCTTGGTCATCTACATCTTTGTCCAGGTGTCTAAACAGAAATAGTAGATGCTCTCAGATATGAAATAGGAAAGGTTACAATCACCTCAGTGCAGAAAGTAATACCCAAGGGAGGCACAAAACATGCTGGTTGTTTTTCAAAGTTGAAAATGTGAGAAGCACTAGCATGCCTTTGAGGCCATTCCTTGGGAAACTGGCAACATTGATGCATCATTATGAAAAAACCACCACCACAAAACCCAAAAAACTTAGGATGGAGAGAAAGCAATCACTGTCACCTTGCCAAAACCACTCCTCAGCCATCTCTCAGAATTATCGATGGAACTGATCCAAAGAACAAGTGGTGGTTTTGTGAGCGTAAGGTTCCTACGGCTTAATAACAAGAAAATTCACCATCCCATGCCTGCTGTCCTGCCTCACCAGCGCTGTGGAGGAGAGGATGCCCAGAAGGACCCATGCTCCCGACCCAGTTGTCCATCGCCCCGAGCTGAGCCCAGCCCTGCAGGCAGCAGCAGTTCGACCTCTGTGGTGTCCACAGGGGCTGGGTACGGACAGCCCTGCAGTCCTTGTCCCCAGGGAGTACCGCACGGAGTACCGAAGCACCAGAGCAGGGGGGTCCTGAAGGCACGAGACCAGGGCCAAGCGGACAATGGGGCTGAACAGCATGACAGCGATTTGTTGGAGAGGCAATGTAAAAGTGGGTGCAATAGCTCTCTGCAGAAATACTTTAAAAATATCATGGCCAGGTTCAGCCTTTTCCTTTTCTCCATCCGTAATGTGTGACAGCCAAGCACTGCCTGTGTCTCCTGGCAAAAATATTTTACATCAGAATGGGACAGTCTTCCTTTTTCCTCACAGGCTCAGTGTTTATTGAACCCTCTGCTACACCCAAGCTAAGCTGTAGCCTGCTTCTTGCAGGGAGAGTGAATCCCTGGTAGGGATCGTGATGAATGGGAGTGGGGAGAGGGGCAGGGACTGAGTCCCAGCTCTGGAGGAAGGCAGCAGCACCAGTTTGGACATGCACAAGTAAGGGAGGGATCCCTGGGTACCACCTTACTCTTGCTTTGGTAGACTACGCTCCCAGCCCTGTGATACCTCACTGAAGCAGAGATCGGTAGGTGTTAGAGGGTGGGAGGACAAGAGACACCCTTGTCGATGCAGGAGGCCTCGTGCTTGCTCTCCTGTTCACGTTTCTGCTGCCAACCCATTTTCAGCAGAGCTCAGCTGGAAAAACAAAGCGCACCCAGTACTCCGGTAAATGGTGGAGGAGTACTCCAGGGTGCCCATTAATGTACAGTTTAAATACTGCAAGAAACTTGAGAAGAAACAGCTGAAATGCCAAGGAGAGTAAATAAAGAGGGGAAGAGCTGGGTTATCAGCTGCACTAGTGGGCAGTTCAAACAACTCATCAAACATTTAAAAACACCCCACCAGAAATCTACCCCAGGCTCACCTGCTCCTTGCGCTTTTTATTGAGGTAAGTTGTTCATTTCAGATTCTTTTCACATGCAAATGCAAAATGCACTGAATGAGTCCAGGGAGGCAGGGATTTTCACAAGCACAGCTTTTCTTACCTAGCATTTTCATTGTGTTATAAATTCACAATTCCGCCTTGCTGTCCCCACATCTTAAAAAAATTAACATCATCTTAATTTAAGGCACAAGGTATGGATCGGGAATAAAGTAAGTGGGAGGAAAAGGAGACAAAAGGTGCACAAGAGGCATTATTATTAGAGTGACAGCGGATCTAGCCTGTATAAACTCAGTCATTGCACTAAGAAACAGCTGAATAGACGCTGCAACTATTCGTTCATGAAAACAAAACCAAAATCACTGATTTTTTACCATTAGCATACAATGGCAACTTTCTTGCTTCCTGAGTTTAGATTACATTTTCTTCCAACAAATATAGAAAAGGGTGTAGAAGAGAGACAAAATGCAGTTGCAAATCTAGTACTGGGCCTGTGTAATGTATTCAGAGATCCCTCTGGAGGAAAACAATAGATCATGAGCATGTAGCTCAAAATGGCTGTCCTATACAGACACGGTATTCCCTCCGGTATTCTTCAGCACTAAGAATGCTAATAGTTGGAAGGTCTGGAAAGCGGAAGGGCAAACACATGAAACACGAGAAAGGCAGGAGATGAGAAATAAGAAAGAAGACAAAAATAACAGGAGTGCTTAACCCAAAATTTAATTTTCTCTACTAAATATCGAGTATGTGACAAATGTTATGCCAACTCGCAGACAGAGCATTTATTTGTGCTCTTTGGTGACCTTGCTTCTGTTAACCAGCGAGAATTTCAATGGAGACTGAGATTAGTGCATATCCCAAACCCATGATGTTTGTCCCAGGCACAAATTTAAAATAAACAGACATCAGCACAGCCTATGCAGAAAACTTGCTGCTTCTCTTTCTGCTAGTGCTTTTTGTAGAGATCACATGAAGTTTTTATTTTTCTTCACATCTGGAGGCATAAAATGTTTTATTTGCATTTTCTATGAAAAACATAATTGGATTTTGAATCAAGTTTAATACAAGGCTGAAGATTAAGCACTGTGCAAAATTCTCGTGTTAGATAACAAAACAAACATTCCCAATTCAACCGACAACCTGGGACACCCATTTAAATCACCAGCTCATGGAAATCACTGACCGCCAAAGTGTGAACCCCGTTTTCCCATGGGTGAATAACTAATCACAATGGATTCAAGAAATGTCACAAATCATAACTAGAATACACACCATGACTTCTTTTAAAAGAAAAAAATCTCAAATACTCCCCTCCTCCCCCCTCAATCACTACACATATGCTGATTAGCAAGGCAGAAATTGGTGATTATATGCCACTTGACTACTTCGGGGGTGGGAGGCTGAGCTCTCCTCCTTGCCGTGCCTGAAGGAATTAAGGCTCTGAGGTCTGACTGGCGATTCTAACCACCAATTTTCAACAAACTCACAGAAAAATACTCTCATCTTCTGCCAGATCGGTCAAAATCAGTCAGCTGACTGAAATGTTATTACTAAAGATTTTCAGACATGGTAACTGCAGTCCTTAGGAAGTCGAAAACGAGAAGTCAGCTACCCCTGTGCTCTGAAAGGCAGGCCTCGCAGGGATGTTCCTTTGCCTCTTCTGGGGGAACTCCCCCAAATCCTGACCAGGTTAGACTGAGATTACCAGAGGGCTGTAAGGAATCGCTATAGGATAACTACAGACTAACAGTTTTCCCTGAATATTATACGTACAAAAGACCCACTGCATCCCTGCAAACCCATCTGACTGAACTTATGCCACATGCACTAAGCATTTCGGTGTACAGTGTACCGGCTTCTCACGACGCAGGTTTTTGTTTTGATTCCTTATCAGGTGCAGGAAAATCTCCTAAATTCCCGTTTCAGCACCTTCTCGATTAAACCACCTTAACCTTGCTGGACATTCTTCGGTGCTTGATAGTTCAGGTAACTGCACATGCAAGGGGATCTACACTCGTGTGATGTCTGACCAGTGTAACACAACATGAACCGAGGGGGAAGGAAAGGCACCATAAGGTGCACAGCAGGCAATTAAATGTTGGTATCACCGAAACCGCCTACATTTCTGCTACGCTTTTAAACTGTTTGATAAGGTGCACGCTGGAAAATCAGAGTACCATTATCTTTTTAGGCAGATGGTCTGACTATATCAACCAATTTTATTAAAAATATATGCAAAGAAACTCAAGTCTTTATTAAAATTTAATGAATAACAAAAGGTATTTAAGAAAACGAAAGAGCAATTATATGAAAGGAGTGTTTAGTACTCAGGCACAAGAGCAAACATTATACACAAACCAACAAACAGGTATCCCATGTCTTCAAATTAATCGAGCCACGTCCAACAGCACTGCCTAAGGGAAGAGCCAGTACACCTT